ATCGAAATCATATCCCAGAGCGTTCCTGCAGGCTTCTTTTGGGAAGTAGACTGTGGCTGAGGGGCTGTAGAGCCAGATGAGCGCCAATCATCACCTCCCACTGGTGATTTCACGGTAGTAGTTGAAGAAGATGCAATGCAGAGAAATTGAAGTCGGCCTGTGGTGAAGGAGAGGGTGAAGGATGTGAAGGTGTCGACTGCGTGCAAGAGAATCAAGGCCATCCAAGCAGATGGGCAAGGGCACAGTGACCCCTGAGGGTGCCTGGGCTTGCTTAGTAACTTTGGCTCTCTGAGCCGCTTGCCGCGCGCTCAGCCATGGTCATATTGACAGTATTGTTATTTCTTCCATCCGCTAACGAGCCAGAAAAAAGACTACTGAAAGCATCTGCATTTCTCGCTCCACCTGCTGGCGCAGGTTTCGTGGCTGGGTGGTGGAACCGGTAACCTGCGGGGAATGCGTGCGTGAGGTTGGTTGAGAAGCGGAAAGAATGGAGAATGCATCCTGGGACCGTTGAGGAATAGTTGCTCGTTGTTTGGCAGCCCCAAGTATCTGCGGAGATGTAGGATTGGACGGTGCAGATGAGCTCCAGAGGTCTGCGAATGAGTCAGACATCATCTAAATTTTGGAAAGAAAGTTCGTCTTCAAATCGCTCTCAAGATTTGCCACGAGTAGACCAGCTACGTTGAATCTATATGTGAAGCACTAGAAAAAGCAAGATACAGTTATGTAGTCGAAGATGAACAGCCTGTAGCCTAGGCCCTGGAAGTAGATGAAACAATCGCTCTTGGCAGAAAGCCACGTAGCGTAGTCAGCCAATGAAATTCGTCAATCGTTCATATAAACTTGTCAGATGCCCGATACCTTTTGCGTACACCGAACAACCACAATTCTTATTTACGCGCAAATGTCAATTATCATTGGAAGGGATCGAAATACACTGTGAGTCTGGACTGATCAATTAGGATCCCGTATGGCCTTGAGACGGCCAATTTTCCAAGGCTTAGTCCCCGATTTGTTCTAGATGAGTCAAAGCAAGGTATGCATCTAAGCCTTTCAAGTTATAAATAATGACCGTCGGCCTCCTTCTGTTTTGTCTGGTCAGCAAAGATCCAGTCAAAGCCCAGTTGCGGGCATTCCAGGTGCCATTATAATTGCATGGCATCGTGGCAATGTGGCTCATTCAAACCTTTATGACGGCTTTGGCGTTCGAGAGGGCTGCATGCCTGTGATTTCAGGCCTTTCATATCGAGCATTCTGTTCGCTTATTATTCAACTAGTGATTATTCTTCCAAAGTCGTGTTCAGCACTTGTGCTGCACAAGAATAACGGTCGACAGGTCCTGGGGCGCGTCCACAGCCTTGTTGATCCATAGGCAATTTTCCATTGTGCGTGCCAGTGGCTTTGCCACAGTCCACTACCGAAAGCAAGCAAGAATTCCAATGGCTATAAAGGTCATACATCTGGCGTTGGTCGTGAATCCCTGTCCACTCTGTTCTACGCCAAGCACCTGTACAATATGAACACTCGCGTTCGCCAAAACCCTTTTTCAGCAGCCCACATGGGTATCACGAAGTGTTTCTGTGGAAATTTGACAGTGGAAGATCACGATTTCTGTTTTTGCTCTCCGGGGTGTGCTCGTGCGGATGCTATGGCCGCCCTGGGGGAGAAGATTCCCACTATCGGAAAGTCGTGCGGAAGGCGTATGTCAGCTGCGGTGCTCTGCCGCCTGCCATATACAAGCGCAAGGCAGAGGGGGAAACTCCGATTGCGAAGCATGTTCCAGCCATCCCTCGACCTGTCAGCGCAACGCATCAATGCAAAAAGCAAAATATAGGCGGCCAGTATGATGGGTCTGCCAAAAAAGAAAAGGTGTTCCCTACGCTAGCTCAAGTGACGACTGTCGTTCTTGCTCGAAAGGCAGAGCAGGGGGGCGAAGCAGTGGTCGAGACTTTGGTGAAAACTCCCCATGTCGCCGTTCAGATATCCCTCGATACGCTTCCTATTCCTATCCAACAAACCAGGCCGGGCCTTGATCGGGGCACTCATAAATCACCGTTGACACAATTACATGGTGCGCCACAGCAAACTATGCCACTGAAAGTCGATGACAAGACCGTTGCCCTCAGAAATCAATCATCGATCCTTCACCCGATAGCCGAAGAAAGAGGAAGGGAGAACTGTGATAACGCTCCTCTTCCTCGGAAGCTGGATCGTCGCGCAGAGGAAAGGCCAATGCCTCCACGCCCTCAACGACCAGTCCTTCCAAACACGACCGCTGCAATCTGCCCTCTGAGAAGCCTTCGTCGCTCAACTTCATTCGCAGGTTGGCACAGCCCAGCTGAACATTGCGATCGTGTCTCGGAGAATGACGAATCTCTTAAGGAATTATTCGACCAACTTGAGGATATTCGAACTTGGATTGAGGGATGGGATGGAATGCCAGACTCCAACGCGAAGCCGCACGGGGTGTGATTGGATAATTAGACGTCGCTGGGGTGATGCTAAGGTCCCAGAGGGGCCCGAAAGGATTTATTGTAGTTGTTTTGTAAAACAAACATATTTAATATGCCAAAGTTGGCATGTGCATAGGATGTTAGTACTAGTGTAAATTTTGTCAAATAATCTAACTTCATGAGCACTCATGCCCAGTAAGAATCGGTCAGATGCCCTCGGACGGAGATTGATGGATTTGTAGGTTCGGAGTAGTCAGTAGACCTAGATTGATGGAAATCTAACTTGTGTAAACAAACGTTGAACAACGTGTTTGATTTGAGCTGATAAGGCCAATATTCTCTTGCACGCTGCGCAGCTCAACGTACGTTCAACGAGTCTTGAGCAACATTGATTTTGTACTTTGTCGTGTCACTGAGGCTACTCGAAACCAATCTGAAGGCTCCCAAAGGTGTGTTCTTTCATTTACTATGTGGCTACTAAGCACATGACATTGTAGTTAGCCTATGAACGCAGAACACTGGTGTTGCTGTCGGAAATATTGTCATGGACAGCGGAAGTGTCTGAAGTCCCTCAGGACATGGCAAAGACACCTGCAAGAGGCTGATGAGGATGAGAAGCCTCGAGTGCGAGCTGCACGGCTCTCTCGGTCATTTCAAAACTTTGTTGCTACTACTACGAACAATGCACCAGCTGCAGGACCATCTCTCATGCAACTTCCCATTGCCTCTGGTTCGGGACGTACACCCTCTTCCACTACATCTTCCAGTAGCAGTGATGACGACAGGCCTTCATGCAAGCGCAGATGTGGATCAGAAGAACTGTTTGTTAATGTAAGGCAATTGTACAATCTAAGTTACCTCGCTAATATTATGATGTAGGATGTCAATCTTCCGCATCCCCCAGGCAGTCCAGACAATGATCAATACATACCAGAGCCAGACTTTGATGCCTTGCCCCGAGATCTTGAAGGTTGTGATGATGACGAGCAGCATCGAGAGCCTGATGGACCGCCTGACGATCTTGACAATAATGAGATGCATGCAGCCGATCAAGATCAGCGTGACGAGACACCACCTGCAGCACATTGGCATAATCCATTGAAAGATCTTGACCTAGATCAGTTGGGTCATGATGCGAAACGTTTTGAACTTCAGCGAGATATGCAATTTATTCTCGCGCTGCATAATGCTACTCTCGACGACGGTGCTGGACTTATCGGAGATGCATTGGAGCATTTGCAAAACCCACCACAAGCACAAGCACGGCTAGATGATTCTGACATTGAACATGGAATTTCGCTTTTCCTCGCTCTCGAGCATGCGTCCGAGAGTGCTTTCAACAAGTCTCGCGCTGCTGCACTTCACCGTCACCCTGAGGACAATATCCCGAGCCTCCATCAAGTCAAAAAAATCATATCTGATCTTTCCGGTATCACATCAATTATTAAGGACCAGTGCATAAACTCTTGTACTGCATTTGTCGGTCCATATGCCAATCTCGATAGCTGCCCAACGTGCAACGAGCCTCGATATGATCCTATTCAACTTCAGCGGAGCAGAGGATGCATTAAACGCCCTCGACAAGTCTTCCATACATTTCCCATTGGTCCGCAACTTCAAGCATTATGGCGTCACCCTGATTCTGCAGAGCTTATGCATTATCGCAACCGGCGCACGCAGCAAATCTTTGAAGAAGTTGCCCGCAATGGGGGTGTACCTGATGCATATGATGATGTCATTACTGGTCGTGCATATCTCGAGGCTGTTCAGCAGGGGCGTATCAAACCTGAAGATATGGTTCTGATGATGTCGCTCGACGGGGCTCAACTATACGAGACCAAACAAAGTGATGTTTGGATTTACATTTGGATTATCATCGATATCTCTCCTGCGCACCGCTACAAAAAGAAACATGTCATTATTGGTGCTGTCATTCCTGGGCCCAATAAGCCTAAATATATTCCGTCATTTCTCTATCCAGGTCTCCACCATCTCGCAACTCTCCAGCGTGAAGGACTCACAATATGGGATGCTCGCCATGACATGACATTCATATCCCATCCATTCCTGTTCCTCGCACTCGCTGACAGCCCTGGACTGACATGTGTGAGCAACCTTGTGGGCCATAGTGGAAAGAATGGTTGTCGGATGCTATGTGGTGTTGAAGGTCGTAGTCGTCCAGGTGGCCATTACTATCCTGCTCTTCTTAAGCCCAATGACTACAGTGTCATTGGGTGTGATCATGAGGACCTCGACCCTGCTGCTACACCATTAGGCTCGTCAGAGGATTATGTCCGAAGACTTCGCATTTTAATGGCATCACCAAATCAAGCGCAGTATGAAAAACATCGCTTACAAACTGGTATTGTTGGCCCCAGTATCCTTCTAGGTCTTGACCTTGACCGTATCCTTGGCATTCCAGAGGTTTTTTCGAGCGAAATTATGCATTTTTCAGGAGCCAATATGGCTGCTTTGTTTACAGATTTATGGTGTGGCAAAATGAAGAACTATGCCCCAGATGACCGTGCTACATGGGACTGGGCAGTCCTCGTTAACGACGTGTGGGAAGAGCATGGCGCTGCAGTTGCTGCATGTCGGCCATATCTTCCAGGCTCATTCGACAATCCCCCGCGAAACCCTGCTGAAAAAATGAACACACATTATAAAGCCCGCGAGTACATTACTTGGCTCTTTGGTCTCGCTCCTGCTTTGCTTTATGGAATTCTTCCACACAAGTATTGGCTCAATTTCTGCAAGTTCACTCAAGCCCTTCGTATCATGAGCCAATACAGCATAAACTCGGCTCAACTCATGGACGCCTTCATTAAGTTTGCAGAATGGGAAGGCGAATTCGAAGAGATTTACTATCAACGTCTCGCACACCGTCTCCATTTTATTCGCCCGTGTGTACACTTATCAAACCACCTTGCTCTCAAAGCCTCTCGTGTTGGCTCACCTATCTGTTCATCTCAGTGGACCATGGAAAGAACATTCGCTGACGTTGAGTTTGATCTCCGTCAACCCAAATTGCCGTATGCATGCCTCACGCAGGTATGCTCGCTTCGTTGTCAAACCAATGCCATCAAATCTATGTTTCCACACTTCGATCCACCAGATGTACTTGCTCCGCGATACTCTCTGGATATCGGAAATGGCTATGTGCTTCTTCGTGCCCGTGACAAACGATCACGTTGTGCTGCAAGTCCTGCGGAGGCAGCAGCAATGGCTGATTTTCTTGGCCATGAAGCTCCGAAATTTTTTCGTTGGGCCCGTCTCCATCTTCCTAATGGTCAAATTTCACGATCAGCTTGGAAAGAAAAGGACCGGCCAGTAGAACATTCACGATCAGCCCGAAACATCAAGGCAAGTTCTTTGGCCTGTCAAACAACCTTTCGAAACTCGACTAACTTTGATGTTTAGCTGGAAATTGATGGAACTACACATTTTGCTGAAGTACAGTTTTTCACGCAGCTGGCTGCTACAGCAAACGTTGAACCTCAGGACGATGAGGACAACGAAGAGTTTTTAAACCGATTGCAAGGCCCAGAATGGCATTTCAAAAATGTTGCAATTGTCTCTCTCTATTCTCCTCCTGATGCTGCACTCCTAGAATTGTCTTTCGGTACAGTTTGGTCGTGCAAACACCAGGGCGATCGTGGACTTCATGTTGTAGAGATTGAACAAATCCAGGCAGTTGTCGCTGTAATACCCCACCGACCCACCTTGCCATCTGGAGTCACCGAAGATCGTTTTTTTGTCGTCGAGAGAACTGGCTTGGATGTTTCAATGACTGGAGTATTTCTTGAAGAGAATGATGACAATGTTGACAGTGACGAGGAAGAAGGTTGATTTTACAGTATAATACAAATTGTTGCTCTAATGTTACACGTGCATACATCTTGAGATGACGATTTGGCGACGTCACAGTGTGACGGCTTCGATGGCATAGTACCAGGCCGCAGCAAAACACTACAACATTCACTTCTCTTGATTATACCAGCATCATGTCTTTCACGCCTGCAAATCATTACACTCTTTCTGCATCATACTCTAATTTAAATGATATTGGCACTCCTTCTCCGAATTTTGCAGCATCATCGAGTTACCAGAAAATGACTGATCCATTCACTGTTTCAGACACTCCTACATCAGAACATCCATCATTCCGACAACCACTGGGTAAATCGTCATCATTGCATTACAATGTGAGTTTGTCGCTTCACTTTCGTGTCTAAACATCGTATATACACTGCAAATAGGGCGCATATAGTCACTCTTTTGACTCAGTTTTTCAACTACAAGCTCAGAACGAGCAATTGAAACAAGATGTAATTGCTTTAACTGCTTCTCGTGATGCTTATCAGTAAGTTTTTATTTCTGACGGTTGAATTTGCTGATACATCATAAAATTCTTAGGACCGCTTTTTTTAAACTCTCAGGACAGCTCTCTTTGTCCGACAATGCCTCTGCATACACAATCGAAAATGGAGCCAAGATCAGCATTAAAACCACCTCTGGCAGCAATGATCGCGAGCCCATCAACCTAGCGAAAAAGAAAGACTATCCTGACATCAAGTTTTGGACTCATCAAGATTTCAAACAATGGGAATGGACGGACGGACTGCGCACAGCAGCAGATCGAGGCTCACTTCCTTTCCTAGAAAAGTGTGATGGCAATGTCTTCTCCCCTAATGAGCTCTGCGATATCATGAAAACATTCCGCTCAGTATGGTTTGGACTTACTCATCAAGACAAGGCTCCGGCATCCTGGGGAAAGGCAATTCCTGCAGCGAAAAACTGGCTATACACTGAAGTTTCATGCGCACATCCTGAGTTGGCACTGAGCGAAGGCTACTGGAAGATTGAGGCTGTTGCAACCGAACGATACTCATCATGGGCAAGTATGCATAAAAAACCCGAGCAGACAACTCCTCATGCCAGCAATGTTGATGTCAAGCCACTTGGTCATGCGGAATCCAAACCAGGAGGTCAGCGCAAGCGAAAGATGGATAGTCGGACGCCGGACAGTGCTTCTTCAGATGTTTCAATCACAACTCCAGATAATTCCATCACCAAAGACTTGGATTGTGCCGACCAACCGAAACGAGCTAGAGTGGACAACAAGGATGCCGAGCCTTCAACGGAAACATCAACCATCAATGTCATTCAAGTTGCGACACCGGATAGTACCATTGCAAGGCGAGTGAACTCATCGTTGTTTTGGCCACTACTCATTTTTATGCATCGAAAGCCCCAGTGTCATCATTCCCGCACCACGTTCCATAGTTCTTTTGAAAGATCCATTGTGAGTCTAGTTACAACAATTTTGCCTGCGCTGATAAGGTTACCTTGACAGCAAAGACGCGATCAAACTTTTGAAGGAGAAACGTGAAGACTCCGCAGCTCAGAAACAGCTCCAAATATCGAACGATCCTCCTAGCACTCCAGTGCCAATATTACTCATTGACTCAACGCCTACTAGCGCCGATGATACTACTGCACCTGCCCACACATCAAACTTGGATATTCTCATGCCTGTCACCATCACACCTGTTCCTACTACCATTGTCACTGCGCCTATTCCTACTGCTGTCACCGGTGTGCCTGTTCCCGCCACTTCAAACTCGAAGGATACCAAGAAATTCCGTCCAGCTGCCACCAAGAACGGCAGGTGAGTGCGGTACCCTGTTCTATTTTCCGATAACTCAACTTTTTTCCGATAACTCAACCTTTTCCTTAGAAATCTTTGTGCTCATCGCTGGCTGAAGCAGCTAATGCCGAACGGATCCTCGCAAGACTTCAAGGTATATTGGGACTCACTCGAGAAGACCCGTCAAGCGGTATGATTTTATTATTCTTATCTTATGCGTTGTTCTCATTGTAATGCTGACTACAGAACTACGACATCGAGGCCTCGAATCTGGTAAGTACTGATCCTATTCCTATTATACACTTATTCGTGTGTTCTATCTAGGTTGCTGGCTGTGTTTGGACCGCGAACACAGTCGATGTTCTTGCAAAGTTCTCTGGTGGTACGCTGCATTAGCTAGGTGCTAGGTATCGTCAGCAGGGGTGGGTAGTAGGACGGAAGAGCTGGTGCGAATGAGCGGGCGGGTAGCCCATTTTTAGCTTTTTTTTGTTGCTTTTGTAGCTTTCAAATGCATTGTTTTCCGTCAATTTGCGTCGATATGATGTGAGAACCAATGGATGCGAGCCATCTATTCAAATCTACGGAAATCTAACTACTCGATGTTTTATAGACTGGCGTCAATCAGCGTTGCTACCAGTCGTCTGTGCATCGACGTAACACGCCATTTGTCGACGCTCGTCGACTGACATCATACTTTTCACAGTTCGTCGATTTCCGTCGTTCTCCGTCGGCTGGCGTCTGACCGACTTTCACTGGGACTCATGTATCAGATTTCAGTCGCCCACATCCACCAAATAAAAATAATATCATTGCCGGCGGCTAAAGTCAAAACTGTCCTCAGGTTCGAAATTACATCGCCCGTGGGACAACACCACAATAAATTGAGTTTTGCTATTGCGCTCAGCGTCGCACTTCATATTCAACTGTACAGAAGCCAGCGGATCCTTTTTGCACTCAATCACGTCTAGTACCATCCTAACTACAAGATTTCTAGGCCAACCGTCGGTGAACCTGGGTGTCTGGGTGTGTAGATCTCTACGTTGTCTTCATCCCTGATTGGCATACCTCAGCGTTCAACAATTGCTCATTATTGGAGCTTCAAGTTTTCAGCTAATGGTGTAAGTGCGTGTCAATAGGTGCAGGTCGAGCCGTGGAAAAAAACATAGCACAGTGATGGGTATTTTTTTGTGTTCGACGAATCGACGGGGCCGAGGCTCTTCTGGCCCTGCCAGATGTCGGGGAAATAAGAAATAACAGCTTGCAAAATTACCTGTCATAATAATTCCACTCCCAAACGTTCATCGGTATGGTGACTCGCCAACTTAACGGAGTGCCTCCCCCTGGATCACAACCATGTCTTGCTCATAATGACTGGAAGCGTAGCATCTATCAATGCTCCTCTCATCGTCTCACTGCTTCTTCAAGTCTGTCACCCATCCCGGAATCCTGCCCTTGCTCATGTTGTGTGCAAGCGTAGTACCAAAATGTCAGAGTAGAAGGAGTTGCGACCAAGGAGTCGCTGATCTGCAGGCTGCAGATGTCGTCAAGGCAGGCGCTCACGTATGGACTGATGAAGATGAGTAATCAGTGAGTACACGCACTTGTTTGGCCGTCTTAACATCCATGACAGGGTCATACAAGATTGGAGACCCGATCCTGCATATCGAGTTGAGGAGGTGGGCCGACATTGTTCTTGTCGCTCCCTGCTCGGCAAATACGCTCTCAAATGATGCACACGGACTCTGCGACAATCTCACAGTATGTTTCCCAGCGCATTCACATTGTATTTGATAACAAACCTCTTGCTTAGATCTCTCTGCTTCGCGCGCTGGCACCTACGACGCCGACTTACATGTTCCTGGCGATGAATACGCTCATGTACGAGCATCCACTCACGGCAGAACATTTGCGCGTCATTCGGAACGTTGTGTGTTACCAAGCTGTCGAGCCAATCGGAAAGAATCTTGCATATGGGACGTTGGTATGTAGCTCCGACTTTTGTTTGTTGCCGTTGCAGTTCTTTTTAAAAGACTCGGTGCCATGACGGAATGGCGCGATATCGTGAAGATAGTGGTGAATAAGATGAAACTCGTTCGCAAAGACAACAAATTTTAATGCTCCATAAGTATTGGTTCTTCTTCGCGAATGCATGCATACAAGCAATTCGTTCATCTTCGGACGTTTACCATGACAAAGAGATGTTTGCACACTACCTTTGCTGTTGTGCTCTCCGAAATGATGATCGAATGGCGCGCCGACATCGTACTTTCGACAGTGCGGAGGTTGAGAACAGATTTTTACAGAGTACAGGTCCAAAGACGGAGATGAGAGAAAAATCTGATATGGAAACATGCGGTGAGTTGCATTTTATGGAGGGTAAGGGTTGCTTGAACTCAGAGAAGGATAGTCAGATTCATTTAGCACTAATATTATCTCGCTGCTAGCGCTCGCCGCTGATCTATCTCAGTAAGCTTTTTCCGCATTGCAAAGAGTGAACTCAGACATGGAGATAGGAGCACTGCGCGCAGACTGCAGACTACCAAGCACGCACTGACACTGGGAGCGGTGGAGTTCAGGTGGAGTTATTGTGCCTCTACTGGTATTTCATCTACTATCTGCAGGTCGCAAATGCGGACTGATGAATCATTTGGGAGTAGAATGATCAAGCTAAGGATGATGGAGTATCATAGTCAAGCACTGCCATCCCAGCGGTACGGCTGCCAGCGTTTGCGCCGTTCGTTGAACATGCGACGTAGAATCTGGACGCCCGAGTCGGTAAGGATAGGAAACGATCATCGCCTCACCAACCCCTTATATCATAATGTTTGCTTTCTTCGATTTGATGGCGTCTTCAAACGTTCTGCACGATAAGAAACACCGACACCGAGCTGTATGGTATGCGCTAGACAACGACAGCAATGTGGCCTCATAATGAGTTCAAGGTATTTCTGGTATGGTCAAATTACCTCTTACAACACTGATTTTAGCGATAACAGATGAACAACGAGCGGAATACATGGCACTGCTATTGACTTCATTCCTTTTCTTACAGATCTGTACCGCACTCAGTATTCACATCTGCCAAGATACGCGCCCATCGTCCGCCATTCCAAGAATGGAGTTCTCGGAGTTGTTCTTCGTCGAAGATTTTATTCCACCACATCGTTCTGCAAGCCACCACCATATCTGCGAACGAGAAGGTATCCCCCATAATCCACTTCCCGCCACTTTTCTGGTACCATTTATCGATTTCATCAAGACCCTTCTTCAAGTCTTCCCACTGCTGCTGGACGTTCTCTTCTGACACAGCCTCCCAGCGCGTTTCACCGAGCAGCTCCAAGCGCGTCTGAATGAAGTACTCCCTGTTCGAGTCGTTCAGGATTTCGAGGGTCTTTGTTAAGATAAGTTTCACTGCTTTTCCGTAGGCAATGCTGCAATATGCAGGCTCGAACAACCTCATAAGAACGTTGGCGCCGCGTGGTATGACCGGCTTCTCTGGATAAGTCTTATCCAGGTACTCAGCGATCGCCAGCGAGTCAGCAATGACGAATCCAGTGTTGGGATCCTTGATCACCGGAAGGGTGTATCTGCCCCCTTCTGTAGTCGAAGCGCCAACTTTGCATTTCATAGTCATGGGAATATCCTTGAACTCTACCCAGACGATCGTATATGGGAGACCTTTGTATTCCAGGCAAAACCTATCCTCTGCTTGTCAGCAACATGCAGCAATGGCTCTGACTGCGCGACATGCCTGGTCTTTGCAGGGTTTGGAGCCCATATATTATTTGGGGCCTTGCTTGGTATGTCGTACAGTATAATGGGGTGCATTGAAAATCTGAAGGCTGACTTGATTGGTTGATCTAGTGTTGAACCCGTGGACGTTGCACTATATACTTTTCCCTGCATAGGGTGTGTAAAGTTTTTTCTTAACGGATGACAATGTATAACCCGAACAACGAATTCTGATTGGTGACAGTGAATGATTGGTGTCACCCCACAATTGCCAACCTAGACACTAATCATTTGCCAACTCACCAACGCCACGACGCCGAGTCCCAAATCTGCCCAAAACACACTTTCATGTCACCTTTACGTGGAGGCTTATACGGACTGCGGCACCACTCCGGTCTTCGGCGCATCCGCATGTTACTCATTTTCGCTGGCAAGGTGATGTCCGATACGAGCTGAGTGGGCACTTCCAAATATTGCCAGTACTAAACAAGAAGCCTAGATCGAACCTTTATGCGTTGTGCCAGCCACTGTACTGTGTGCGCCCGGCCTGGTGCGCTACATGACGTGGCAAAGCCTTCACCTAGGTTACTTGTTCGCTCCAAGTTCGACATCAAAGTATGTACTCCAGCATTTTCCATGTGGGTATTGATGTGACATCTACAGGCCTGCTTTAGCCCGATGGACCTGCGACCTGTGAGACACTCTGGACATTTTTTTACAGATTCCAACCAACTCTCCGCGTTCATGGCCACTACAATGCCACCGAATCGATTTGGAGTGGAACTGAATTCAAATGGTTCCAGTGCCAATTTCCGGAGCATGCAGCTGTCCCGAGTCTTATTAGTACACGGATCTAGTGGTCGTCCCAGCGCGAGAGCTCGTTCGGTGCTGAACGTGGAGTCCTTGCGATTTATACGTGGCTTTTTGCAATTTCATTATGGAATACATTGAGCCAGTTTTGTTTTGTGTCGAATCAGTTGCAGCTGATCGATGATCCTCAACTTCAGTGCGCTCATACATATCACATGCACATCGTCATTGTATGTGCAGGCGACGTCCGAACATCTGTAGGACTTCAATTGAGGTAACTTGTGACGCATTCATTACCACTCCATACCCCTGCAATGATTGATCCTATACGTGTACGTCTTCTAAACCAATTTACACTCCTTCTCGACATCTGCAAGGACTTGGGCCCATTTCCCCCCATTCCAAGAACTGATCCTGGCCCACTCATCATCCTCCTTCAGCACTCGTTTGTATGTAAGCAACCAACAAGCAACAATGATGTCTGCATATGAAAAGGTGTCGCCCATGATCCACTTCCCGTCAGTCTTCTGGTACCACTCGTACAGGGTATTGTACCCCTTCTCTAGTAGTTTCCAGTCTGCATCACGGTTCACATCCAAAGGCAGCGGGACGTTCCCCGAACAAGTTCCGATGAAGAACTTGGCGCTGGCAGGACTTAATATCCCTATGGTGCGTGGGAACATGGGCTCAAGGCCAGGTAGAATGAGGCTCATATGGGCAGAGTCGAATGCGCGTATCAGGGCTTCTGAATTGTTTGGGAAAATTGGCTTCTCGGGATATGTCTTGTCGAGGTAGGTAGGAGGCAAATTTCGAGGGAGTCGGTGATGAGGGCACCGGTGTTGGGGTCGCTGAGGACGGGGACGGTGCAGACGTCCGAGCCATCTCGGCGTTTGATTGGCTTTGCACCGATGGACTCATAGCGATATGGATATCCGAATATTCGACCCAGAGGGTCACGAATGGAAGATCCTTGTAGCTCAAAACGAATCTGGGGCGCAGCAGACTTTGGTCAGATGCCAAAGCTTGGCATGCAGAACACGAAACACTGACCTCGGCTTTGCGGGGTTGGCTGACCAGTTATTGCCTGGTAGCTCGGAGAGGATGTCATACAGGACAAGCGGCAGCATTATCGAGTACTGAGACGTGGAGTTTGAGGTGCTGCGGCCGACTTTGAGACTCATTTTCGAGGCTGAACTTCATTCGCAAGTACCGGATCAATCCGAGTTTGATTAGCGCACGTTGATGTCCTCGAACACCGGTACAGTATAGCGTTGGTATTGGTCCTCGGTGCATACTAGTCCACATCGGGTAGAAGGCGTTGTCACTGAATCTGTGGAACCTGCGGGTCTCAAACGCCAGACACAGCCAGTGATAGTGCTTTATAATTGATCACATAAGGAAGGCAGGCAGGCATTGCTTCTTTTACAATGGCCTGAACTTGTGTGATATCGATGGGCGGTGCGCTTTGTGGCGGTGGCCATGGTGGTTTGAGCTTACTTTGCAGCAATTACCTGTTAAAGGAATTTGTCATTTGGCATTTCAAATATAGGATCCTAGCTACTACATCCGCAGCGTCTTCAGAAATTCTGTGGCACTAGATTTGCACTCCTGCTCGACTCATCTACAAGGACTTGTGTCCCAGTACCATTCGTAAACCGTATTGTAGCCCTTCTTTAGGAGCTCCCAGTCTACTACATCACGCTTTGGGCAATTGGGAGAGAACTCGTTACTCGTACCAAGGCACCTGCCAAAACTACAGGGAAATGTGCTAACACAGGAAATTAGTAACTCGGCTGTTGTCTGCTGTTGTTTTCACTCTCAGTTTGATTCAGCGTTAGTCTCCCCTACTAGTCATTCCTTGATTATGATTCAGTGTCGCTGCCGCAGGTCCGACCAGGCTTTAGCGGCCTTGGCTTGTCACGACTTAATGTGCCAATACGCGATGCAATTCTAGCGATACTCGCGGTCACCGGTATCTGTAACCATCACATCAAGCCTATCAGTGAACCAGTGAGTTCTTGCTGACGATTATGCTGAATCATTGCGGTGCATTTACACGGTCATATATTGCTTTATATTCCAATGTGCCGAAATCCTTTCCTATCTATTACGATATATAACGATATAGGACTGTCTTCTCACTGGTTCTCTGATGGCTCAACTGCGCTAACTAAGCTTAGATGATTCAGCGATTACGAATGAAGCTCAGCCTTGCACATCGCAAAAGATATTAACGTTTCGCCACAGCACCTCACACTTGCCTCACGCTCCATGTCTCAGTACTCCACGGTGCTGCCGCTTGTTCTGTATGATGTTATGTCTGATCTCCCGGGCAATAACTTTTCACCCAATCCCGCGAAACCGAGGTCCGTAGTTCATGTTCTGCATGTCACTTGAAGGTTTGATAGCTAATCAAAGTCTATTGCCCCAGGTTTGTTCTGAGCTACAAAGATATTCCATTCGTGACCATCTGGGTCGAATACGCAGACATCCATATCGCTATGAAGTCCATTGGTGCAAAGCCAATCAAACGCCGAGATGGCTCGGACGTCTGCACCGTCCCTGTCCTCAGCGACCCTAACACCGGTGCCCTCATCACCGACTCCCTCGAAATTGTTTCTTACCTCGAAAAGACATATCCCGAGAAGCCAGTCTTCCCAAACAACTCAGAGCCCCTGATACGTGCGTTCGACTCTGCCTATATGAGTCTGATTGTACCTGGCATTAAGCCTATATTCCTACGCACCATGGAAATATTGAGTCCTGCCAGCGCCAAGTTCTTCATGGGAGCTCGTTCAGGGGACGTCCCGGTTACCGTGGGATCCGAACTGCGATACAGACTGGAAAACTACTAGAGAAGGGGTACAATACTGCGTACGAGTGGTACCAGAAGACTGACGGGAAGTGGATCATGGGCGACACCTTTTCATATGCAGACATCATTGTGGCATGTTGGTTGCTCGCACTTAAACGAGTGCTGAAGGAGAATGATGAGTGGGCCAGGATCAGTTTCTTGGAATGGGGGAAAATGGGCCCAAGTCCTTGTAGATGTGAGAAAGAGTGTAAATTGGCTTAGAAGACTCACGTATAGGATCAATCACTTTAGGAGCACGGAAATGATGGTGAATACTTCACAAATTGTTTCAATCGAGTCCTTCAGACCTGCCTGTACATCTGTATATACGATGACAATGTGCATGTTAAATAGCAACAAGTGTACGAGCGCACCGAAGTTGTGGATCATCGATCAAATGCAATTGATTCGAGCAAAATAAAACTGGTTCAATGTATGCTATCACAGAATTGCAGAAAGCCACCTATAAATCGTAGGGATTCCACAACTAGCACTGAACTCGAGCGACAAGCTCTTGCACCGGGATAACCACTAGATCCGTGTACTAATAAGACCCGGGACAGCTGCATGGTCCAAAAATCAGCATTGAAGTGAAGTTCGATTCAGTAGAATTGTAATGCCCATGAACGCGGAGGGCTGGTTGGAGTCTGTAAAAACATATATCATTGACGAAATCCAGAGTGTCTCATAGGTCGCAGGTCCATCTGGCTAGACATCGAAAGCAGGCCCTGCAGATGTCGCATTAATATTCACATCGAAAATGCTGGAGTGCATACTTTGATGTCGAACTTGGAGTGAACAAGTGACCTAGGTAGAGGCTTTGCCACGTCATGTAGCGCACCAGCCCGGGCGCACACAGTCGTGACAGTAGCCGAAACAATGCATAAGCTGGCAAATTTTTGGTCAAGGCCTCTTGTTTAGTACTAGCAGTGTTGGAGGGTGCCCAGTCAGCTTGTACCAGACATCACTTTGCCAGCGAAAATGAGAAACATACGGATGCGCCGACGACCGGAGCGGTGCCGCAGTCCATATAAGCCCCCCCATAAAGGTGACGTGAAAGTGAGTTTGAGCACATTTGGGACTCGGCGTCGTAGCATTGATGAGTTGTCGGTGACCGCGAGTATTGCTAAAATTCTACCGCATATTGGCACATTAAGCCGTGACAAGCCAAGGCCACCAAAGGCTGGTCGGACCTGCGGCAGCCTGACGCTGAATCATAAGCATAGAAGGAATGACTAGGGGAGACTAACTTGAACGATGAATCAAGCTGAGAGTGAAAACAACAGCCGACAGCCGAGTTACTAATTTCCTATATGTGTTGGCTTTGTTTCCCCCCACATTGTACAGGTTCAAATATTCAAACGTTCAAGTTCAATAACAAGTTGCTGCCAATTAGTCACTGGCACCAGTTAGGGCGTGGCTATCAGACTTGCAGCAGCTTGGTGCCTTCGGATAAGTTCTCTCCCGAGTGCCCGAACCGTGATGGAGCTCCTAGAAAAGGGGTACAATATGGCTTACAAATGATGCCTGGAAAACGGACACAAGTCCTTCCAGATCAGTGACTCGAGCAGGATTGATTTATTGAAATGCCGAACGCCAAATTCCAGGTATTGTGAGCAAACCACCACCGCCACAGAGCGCACCGCTCCACCCAGGTTCAGGCTGCCGTCACGGGTCGTTGGGACTTGCAACGTTGATCGATCATCAAGCACTATCGCTGGCTGTGTCTGGGCGTTTGAGACCCGCACGTGAACCTTTTTCATGATGAC